GCGGATGGCGAGGGGCTCCTCCGCCAATCGCAGGGCCCCGCTGCGGCCTCCTGACGTGGCGCGCCGAAAGATGCTGCAACCATGGACAGCGCCCAGAAGTGCGAGTCAAGTGCAAGGGGCTGCTGCAGAGGGAGGCTCTGCCGCAGGCAGCGCCACTGTCCACCAGGGGAGAGGGGAAAGAGGCCCCTTGAGAGCGCCCCCTCCTTGGCCAGCGCCTCCCTGGCTGGCTGGCAGGTTACAGAGAGCTCCAGCGGTCACTTAATGAGCTGGCTCTGCTAGCCTGGCCAGGGGATGCACTCAGCTAGATTGGGGGGTGGAGGAGGTTACTGCTGAGCTAAAAGCAGGACGACCTTGATGGAAAATAATCGGAAGAGCAGGCTGAGAGGTTGTGCTAGGCTGCATCTTTCCTCCATACCCTCAACACATACCTGCCCTGCAAGGGACCTCTGCAGTTCGCCCCAAGTGGGTGACCTTATGTTGGCCCTGAGGCTATACACACATCCTCTGCAGTCCCCATCCACCTGGACATGTATGCTCAGGAACAGCGAGGGCGATGGAACCTTCCTACTGCGTAAGGGTCTGTGTTCTTACAAGATCCTCGGGTCATTTCTATGTACATTAAAGTTTTAGAAGTAATGCAATAAGTACTTAAATTTATAGCTATGAACCTTATTTTAAGCCACGGAGTTTTGTTGTATGTACTCTTTAGCCTTATCAAGGCTCCTGATACCACTGCAGGCTCTCTCCCACATCTGAGTCTTGGCACATCTGCCTGCAACACACCTCCTGCCCTCTCACCAGCCCCACTGCTGGCTAACTCATGCTTCTGCTATCAGCTTAGAGAAGTGATCTCAAACCCAAGTGCATATTAAAATCACATTACAATCACCCAGGGCTTCAAAAATACTGCTTCCCAGGCTCTATTCCAGACCAGCTGAATCAGTAGCTCTAAGGGTGGGGCCCCAGCATCGGCATGGTGTAAAAGTGCTTCTAAAGTACTGTGATTCTAGTGTGCAGACCAGGTATGATCCTCCGGTTCTCAAGCCTTAGCATGTATCTGGACCACTCAGAGAGCTACTGAAATAAAGATTTTTGTGCCTCCCCAAAGAATCTCAGGCTTAACAGATCGGGCTTAATGGGTCTGATCTGTTTATTCTTAACAGTCTCCCAGGGTTTGCTGATCTGCTTAAAAGTTACCTTCCTCCAGGAAGCCTCCCCTGACCCCACTCCTCCCTTAGTAACCAATATTTTCTACTTTAGTATAAATTGCCTGAGTGTTTATGTCCTCTATCAGGCTGTGAGTTCCATGAGAACAAGGACTTTGATGATCTCATTCTTCAATGTATCCCTAACACAGTTCAGGTCATATATAAGTCTTTAAATATAAAATATAAATATAAGATATAAATATACTTTGATGAACAAATGTACATATGGAAAGCTTTTTGCTCACTCTCTCTGTGTATGTGATTATCCAATTGATTTTTATTCAGAGACCTAATAAAAAGGAATCAGTGGAAGGGGGGAGGGTGTGGCTCAAGTGGTAGAGCACATGCTTAGCATGCACAGGGTCCTGGGTTCAATTCCCAGTACCTCCTCTAAAAATAAGTAAATAAGCAAACCAAATTACCTCCCCCCAAAAGAAATCAGTGGAGTCTACAGGTCTGACTAAGAGAGAGGGACAGGGATATTAAGCTCCGATTTACATTCAGGTGTTGAACGGAAGCTGCAGATTCTATCTGGTGTCTTTGCTGACTTAAGTAATTTAAAACCATCCAGGTAAAACAAGTATCTTGTCAGTCTTTAAAACTGTGAAGTTGATCACAATTCAAGTAACATTACTGAGAAAAATTCCCAAGAATTTATTGCCTCTGACTCCATTGGGGAATTTAGTGACAAATCACTAAATTCCTCTGAATTTTTATTTTAAACTTTCTGGGTGGGCATTACACAGCCTTGATTCCTCTTAAATTTTTCCTCTGATGGACTCAAATTCCAACATCTATCTCCCTGTGTTTTTCTCCACTAACACTGTCCCAGCAAAAGTTTATAAAAATGTACCTCTTCCAGGAAGCCTTCTTGTACTAGTTTCCTGAGGCTGCTTAACACATTACCACAAATTCAGGGGCTTTAAAGTAACATGAACTTATTATCTTACAGTTCTATAGGTCAGAAGTTCAACACAGGTCTCATCAGGCTTAAGTCAAGGCGTCAACAGGGCTGCATTCCTTTCTGGAGGCTCTAGGGGAATATCCCCTTTTTTTCTTCCCCATTCTCCAGCTTCTAGAAGCAGCCCACATTCATTGACTCATGGTTGCCTTCCTCTATCTTCAAAACCAATGATGTTGCATCCCTCTGGCTATTCTTCCCTCGCCACATCTCCCTCTGACTCTCTTCTTCTGCTTTTCCCTTCCACTTTTTAAGAACCCTTATAATTACATCGGACCTACTTGGATAATCCAGGATAATCTCCCCACGTTAAGGTCAGTTGATTAGCAATTTTAATTCCCCTTTGCCATGTAACAACATATTCACAGGTTCTGAGGACCAGGATGTGGACATCTTTGAGAAGCCATGATTCTACACACCATACAACCCATTCCCCAAATTATTTGGTGATTATCAGCTTCTGATCCTCAGTTTCTTATCACTCCATAGCAGCCAGAGATCTAGGGTCTTTAACTCTAAAGTAGAAATCATCAACCCTTGGATGCCCAATGGAACCCTCTGAGGGGCTTTGAAAAATGCTGATGCTCCAGCCCATCTCCAGAAGTTCTGAATTGAGTGGTCTTGAAAGGGACCTGGGCATCAATATTTTTTTTAAAAGTTCATCAGGTAATTCTCTGTATAGTCAGAGCTGGGAACCACTGCTGATGTTAGATAAATTTGCATTCCCTTAGACACCTAAGTACAAAATCTGGAGTCCACTTTGAGTTATAACTTTCTCTTACCCCTTGTGACCAAACAGTTCCCAAGTTCAGTGTCTTCAACCTCTGAAAATTCCTCACCTAACTTCCTCCCTTTCTATTCCAAGTGCTATTTCTGTAATTCAAGTATCAGATCGAAGTCTAAAGCCCATTCCCTTCTCTCTAGGGTCCTTTGCAGTTGTCTGTAGAACAATCCCATTTCCTCTACTCTATTCTTTTTCACTCTAAGGTTTCTTGACTTCTAGACTCCTCTCATTTGAGACCCATATCCGAGCACTCTTCATTTTGAAATGAAATTATTTGAGTAGATGAGTAGAATGGCTGTTATGGGCATATTTTTCATATGTTGAAGCTTTAACCCCCCAGTGCAATGGTATTAAGAGGTGGGGCCTTTGGGAGGCAAATAGGTATAGCTGAGATCATGAGAGAAGAGCCTCCTTCATGGGATTAGTGTCCTTATAAGAGGAGGAAGAGACCAGAGTGCTCTCTCTCGCTCTCACTCTCTTTTCCACTCTCTCTCTCTGCCATGTGAGGATACAGCAAGAAGTGATTACCTGCAAGCCAAGAAGAGGGCTCTCATCAGAAAACAAATGAAATCACACCTTGATATTGGACTTCCCAGCCTTCAGAATCGTGAAAAATAACCATCTGCTGTTCAAACTGCCGAATTTACGGCATTTTGTTATAGTAGCACAAGCAGACTAATACAGTGGTAGTGTGGGGAATAGGAAGACTTTAAGGATCACCAAACCCCATCCCCTTATTTTACTGGGCAGGAAGCTAAGGCCCAGAGTAATTCAATATCCCGCTTGGGCTAACAGAACTGCTTAGAAACAGAGCCAGGACTGGAACTCAGCTCTCTGTCACTCATTCTTTCAACACTTACGGATCACTGACCATGCTCAGGTAGACATTATGCTTAACCCAAGATGTATAAGGCAAGATCCCTGCCCTCAAGGGGCTGGCTCATGGTCTAGTTGCTATAGGATAAAGAGATGAACACAGTGATCAAGAAACACGTCTGGTATTGTACTAACTGAAATGTAATAAGGTGCAGTGACTACAGTCTGTACCTCATCCTTGCCATGGCAGATTAAACATGGCTGCAAATTCTCCGACACTCCTCCCAATCAGAGGCTGGGCCTCTGCTCCTTCTCCTTCAATCTAGGTGAGCTCATGACTCTGAGTCATAAAATACAGCAGAAGTGACACCACGACAGTTTCTAGGACCCAGCCTTAAAAGACTGACAGCTTCTTTTTCTTGTCTTTTGGAATACACACTCTTGGAACCTAGCTGTCATTTTATGAGGAAGCTCAAGCAGCCACATGGCGAAGCCCACATGGAGAAGATCTGAGGACCCTGGCTAACAGCCCAGTTGCCAGCCATGTGGCCAACCACCTTGGAAACAGATTCTATAGCCCCAGGGAACTGCCCAGCCGATGCCACATGGAACAGAGTTAAGCTCTCTCTGCTGAGCCCTGCCCAAATTCCTGACCCACAAAATTATGAAATATAGTAAAATGATTGTTATTCCAAGCCATAAATTCTGGGGATCATGTATTATGCAGAAATAGAATCTGATATGGTACTAATTGAAATGTAATATGGTGACCCATAAGCTCGGTCACTTTCTCATTTACAGCATAAGTAACTTTGGACAAGTTATCCTTTCTAAGATTCAGTGCCTTCATCTATAAAATAGATATAAAATAGGACTGTTATGAAAGTTAAATGCAATAATAGACGCACAGTGCCCAATTCCTGGCCTGT